AAAAAAAATCAAATTTTTCATTTTTACGAACGTTACAGGGTGCTCAGAAATGTAAATTTTGCTCCTTTAAATTTTTCTGAAATTTTGATTAAGCGGTCCGGAAAAACCGTTCGATAGATCGATCTGCCCATTTACGGAGCTTTTGGGGGTACATCGAGGTGTAAAAATTCGTACAAGCATTAGACTCTCCATCGATATTAGCAAAGATGCGGTCGACTTAGCAAAACAAGTCAAAAAGTCACTTTTTTTCACTTTTTTCAAGTTAATGTCGAGGATGAAAGAAAATTTTTTTCTTCCAAGAACGCTACATAGCCTTGTAGGAAATTTATTCGAGATTTCGAAACTGCCCGTCAATTTTCTGTCTGATCATTAGTTGCTGAGATATCGATGGTTAAAGCCAAAAGGATGCTTTTGTATTCGTAGTCGAATATCTCCGGGTCAAATTAACGTAGAGAAAAATTAAAAAAAAGAAATTAAAGCTGAATGAATAGGCTATCAAGTCCATATCATGATTTTTGTGTAAAAAATTTTTCCAAGCCCGTGGACCGAGAAAAAAAACGCAAAAAATTGAAAAAAAAATTTTTTAGTCTTATTTCTTAGAATTTCGCGATGACTGTCGCTCCTAAAAATTTTGAGCTAAGAAATCTGGAAACTAGACATTCGGCGCTTTAAAATGCTTCTTTTAAAACCTTGATACGACCATTTTTAACTGAGATACAGCATTCTGAAAAATCACTAAAAATTCGAAAAATTTTTTTGCTCCCTTAATTTTTTGCAGAAGTTTACATGAATTCATTGATAAACTGCTATTCATAATTTACAGAGCCTTGTAAAATCTGATTTTTTTTTTTGTGAACGAATTGTTTCAGTGAAAATCATAATCATTTCCAATAATTTTTGTGAAAGTTAAAATCACAAGGTTTTGAACATCACAAAGAATTTTTTCATTTCTATAATCAAATAAATTAAATTTTTTATGACAGTTAAATCAGATTTGTACAAGAACTGTGTTGGTGTTGACTAATAAAATACATAATTACAAGAATTGTTTAAATTTGAGTCTGGAGAAAAAAAGAGTAGGGCTATTTCCCCTATTTTCGTAAATGCAATTACATGATTATTACATCAAAAAGTGACATCTATAAACAAGTATTAACATATCAAATTTCATGACATTTTAGAATTAACGGAAAAAACTTAACACTTTTTGTTGACTTTAATTGACATATTTTTATACATTTTTTTTTTACTTTATAATACAGAGTGTTAAGTACACACACAAACATTAAGGAGCGATTTTTTTAGTGAATTCATATAAAAAAAGGTTACATAAACATGAGAGCAAATCAATAGTTTTCAAGAT